TATCCTGCGTCGATGGCTGCTCAGGATCCCTGTGCCCAGTTTGTGCCGAGGGGCAGCAGGAGCTCTTCAGGCAACCCGGCTACTGTGGGCTCCTCACCTTGCCCGAGGGGCCCTTCGCGGCCTGCCATGCCGTCCTCGACCCCACTGAGTACCTGAACAACTGTATCCACGAGCTGTGCATAGGCGGCGGAGACAAGGCCATCGCCTGCCAGAGCATTCAGAGTTACGTGACTGCTTGCCAAGCGGCCAAAGTCATCATCCAACCTTGGAGGAGCCTGTCCTTCTGTCGTGAGTAGCAATGAGACAAAATTGGGCTCATCTGCACAATGATGTTGTCTCTGGTCATCCTGGGGATGCTTGCGGTCCTTCCAGTCTGTTTTGGTGCCGATTTTTTAATAGATCAGTGTTTCCCAGCCTAGGGATTGTGACCCCCCGAGGGGGTTGCACAGTGTTTTCTCGGGGGAGTCGCAGGTCACCGTATATGTACGGTAGTCCTTCTTATATAATGTCTTCCTTAACCTTTCGGAGCGGGATATTAAAGTTAGCTTTTATGTATATCAATGAGAAACCGTCACTGGGTGGGGGGGAAGGACCATCTCCTTTCTGAGAAGGGATGGCTTTACCCCATGAAAAATGCCTTTTTATGCAAAGTTTCCCAACCTTTTTATTATAAAAGGTTGGGAACCACTGGAATCGATCATCCTGATCTTGGTGTCCACATATGGAAAGTGAAAGGGAAACGTGATGCTGGATGTAGTGAGATCCACTCGGTCATCCTGGTGCTCCAACTGCCTGATCTCACCCTCCCAACGCCGAGTGCTGTCTCTCTTTGCCTATCTTTCAACTCTCTCCCCACCCACTGCACTTCCTCCTCCTCCCTTCTCCCCTTGTTTTACTCACTCATGGGGGTGTGGAAGGGTGGAAACTGATCCTCAGAAAATGGCCAATAAGGAGACATCATCAGATGACCTCCCCCTGCAAAATACATGGACCAGTATAAGCAGATCCTGCATGGGGGCAAATTCGGCAAAGCTGAACAAAAATACACTATCATCCAGCAATGTGAAATACTGTATATATACGTATAATGTTTTAAAAGTAGCAGCAGTAGCAGGGCAGAAATTCTGCTGCTTAGTATAGGAGATTGCACTAGAATAAGCCAACTTGAATCAGTGGGAATTTAGTGAGTCAA